GATATTTTGATAGTTCTATGTTCGAGTGTTTGCAAATTGTGTCGATTACCTTCAACCACTTCAAAAGATAAAGGAAAGGGGGGAAGAAAAAAGAAGGGGGAAAAGCCCAAAAAACAATTTGCTAAGGAATATTTCTAGTTACAATTGGTTTTTATCTATTTCCACCAGTTACTGAGATTCATGCTTAACCATGTGGGAAAAGACAATTAATAAAGAGTAATAATTTATATATAATAATGCTCATTTCTAATAAGAAAATATTGTATACCAGATTTGCTAAGATAATTAAGTAAGGTATATTGGATATTTGATAAGTTTCATGCAATATTTTTTGGAATTTTATATAGTGTTGGAGAACAAAATTGTGGGCAGTGCATACTGAATAATATTCATTCCATGGGTTAACGAAGTGATTTTGAGTGGGTAACTCTTTTGTAGTGACTCAAATTTACCCACTTCAAATAGCGCCCTCTTATTGCGTCTACCATACTTCAACAAGTAAAATAGTTTGGGACGCTTCAAGTAATTATTATCAAAGTTTCAGGTGCACTTTCATCCGCAGTATGTCAAAACGTAGTGTTTTCTGGGTCCCAGAAAATCCTGTGCAAAATGTCTGACATTTCCAGAGAAAATGTTGAAAACACCCGTCTGTTTACTTTTTGGCCATTTAAGTATTTCTAGCAGTGAAAAAAAAGCCAGTGAAGTTCAACTCAAAAATGAAACCGTCATTTTTGGCGAGCTGCGAAGCAGATGCGAGCCTATGTAATACCAATTTCCGTCCGTCAGTCCGTCGGTACGTCCGGACGGCCACCCGCGTTCAGAAAAAAATGTTGAAGTTTTTGGTTCTAGCTAACTTGGGGTAAAAAATGAAATGCAGTTTACATGTATCATCTTTATAACTTCAGTTAGGTTCATATTGCAGTAAATTTTATTATTTTATTGAGGATTTTTAATTCAAGAAAATGTTTTATTAAGTTTTTAATTGTTACATGTTCATGTATACCGGTATAACATGTACATGTATGTATACCGATATAACATTTACACTATGCATTTCGGGGATGTGCATGTACTTGAACTTGTAGTTTTATGTGGTTGGAGTAGGGATGGGGATAGGGGGAGGGGACAGGAGTTGGAGTTGGGGTTTGGGTTGGTATAAGGATGGGTAGGGGAGCTAGGGTGGGGTGGGGTAAGTGGGTTGGGGTGGGGGGTAGGGGTTGGAATACTGGGTTTGGGTGGGGTGGGGATGTGTACAAATGTATGGGTGGGGTGGAGACAGGTAGGGGGGGGTTAGGGGGTCGGGGAGGGGAAGGAAATAGGGATTTGAGTAGGGTTAGGGTGGGGATGTGTAGGGGTGGGTGAGGATGGGTAGCGAGGGTGTATAGGGTTGGGGAGGGGGCAGGATATAAGGATCGGAGTAGGGGTTGGGGTCGGGTGGGGAGGTATGGGTCAGTATGGGTAGGGGGATGGGGTGGGCGGGATGTAGGGATTCGAGTAGGGGTTAGGGTGGGGATGTGTAGGGGTGGGTAAGGAGGGATAGGGGCATTATAGGGTAGGTGGGTGTAGGGGGTTGGGGGAAGGAGATAGGGATTGGAGTATGGGTGGGGTTGGGTAGGGGGAGGATGGGATGGGTGTGGGCTGGGGGTTCGGGGATGGGGTAAGGTTTGGGGCATGTGGTGATGGTGCTGTGTCTATATGTACCTGTTTACCCATTCTTGTTCCGCATTTAATTGTGGGGACTACACAAGAGTACGGGGACCCGAAGACACTGTGGGGGCTGCAAAAAAGGCTCCACAACTGGGTCCTAATTTCCCTAACAATGGAAAACTTCCCCATAATGCAGTAACGGCTAACCTATATACACATGTATTTATTAGGTCATCTATTGACTGTTTATGTTGACATTTAAAAACTGACCCCTTCACCTTGGCACATTAACGAGAATCCTGATCCCGATCATGCCCATCCCCAACCCTACCTCCAGCCTCCCTTCCCGCCTTCGACAGCGAGCCATGGCGACTTCGCCGTTCTAGTTCAAGGTATAGTTGTGTGCACGTTTTTATTCTACTGGTCATCAATCTTTCCAACGATTATTATTTCGTGAGAAATACGTTTTTAGAGCCCAAAAGAGCGCAACCGGCCAAAAGTGCATATTTAAGAGTATTGTATTTTGAGTGAAAACGATTTCATGTTCTAGCTGGTTTCCAAATATATTCCTTTCACCATTATTTTTCTACATGCAAAAAATGATATTACGTAATTATATGCTCTTGTATTTTATTTCAGATTGTACCACTAAGGATCTAAAATATGCTTAACAAAAAACTTGAAAAAAGGTAAATTTAAATTCTGTTCACCATAATTTTTGTTTTAATCCAACTGATTTCTTTTGCCAGCATCAATGTAGCATGGGAAATTCCTGCCTCTAAGACTCACTGGAAAATTGGACAATTCAAAAATGTGGAAAAGTCTATGTCTTAAACCTGGGTTAACCGTTAGACTGGTTACGGGTCCCTCCGTCCTAGCCCTCACTCGGAACGTAGGAGGTGGGAACAAGTCCGAACGTCCATATATGGGGGCTCTGGAGGAGCAAAGTGCAAATGTCTCTTTTGCTTTTGAACATTTGTTTTAAGTTTAACAACAAACTCGCTTAAAATCATGAGAAGGGTGCATAACAAATTGAACTTGTTGAATTTGCAGCTCAGTGGATACTAGACATTTTTAAAACAAATGCACAATTTGTTGGCGTCTCGTAAAAAAATCCCGTTGCTAACGCACGTACAAGGCTGTGCCTGTAGGGTAATTTATAAAATCACCTTCAAAGATTGTTTCTTCCGAATGATACCATTTCAGGCAGGGAATTGGTTACCAGTCCTATCTTCATTTTGAGCGAGGAATTTCTTGTTAAATCGCTGGGTACGATTCGGGGAAACTGCAAATGATCCTATGTGTCTTTACGTTTTGACTGAAGCATTCTTAAATTTAACACCACGCATCTATGACTTATATATCCCGATGCTCCAATTTGTCGAATGTCCAGCGAGCACTAGAGCTAGGTTTCCCAAGCTAGCCCCGATGGACTTTACTCATTAATTGTGCAGCCGAGGACTTCAAAGCGCATGCAGCAGTGTTCATGACACTGAGTAAGCAGGATACGCAGGAACCTGGCCTGGAAAGCCTTCGGGAAAGTGGTGGTCACTTGGGTGTTTCTGTCCGAGTTTCCAAGGAACTGTGGAGTAAACGATATGAACACGATTTTGAAACCAGCGTTGAAAAGTTAACGGGGATGAGTTTTCCCTTGCAGTCACACGGTTTTAACAGGATGGACAGAGGGAGAGACAGAGGACAGAGGGTCATATGGCATGTATACTCATAGATTTCAGGGTTTTGTAGAATTAGTAAAATAAATGATGATTAAGCGCAGTTTAATCAGGTTTATGGACGCGCGGACACCTCGAGATTTTTTGAGAAGATCCCTTATGTGGTTGTTTACGATTACGTCACACGCTGAAAGCGTGAATAACTGGCGGTAATTGGTGGAAAGTTCTTCCGTTTACATGTAAATAGCACGCAATAGTTTGGCGTCGCGTCATTCTCGATTCCACCTCTGACCGGAGAAAAGGCAAATGTTTTGCCCATGAAACTTAACCCACCACCACCCCATCAGCCACCTTTGTTTTTCCCTCATTTCTTTGCTCTTTTGGGTTCAGAAGCTCCGCTTTCTTGCACTTGTTTTGCGTGTTTTCCCCACACAAACACTGGTTCTATCTGTCTATTACCGCAATTATCTCAGCTTATTCCTCGAAATGTCATATGATTCTATCAAACAATTTTATATTGTGTTCTGAATTGTTAACAAGGTTATATTTAAATATGTAATATTAATATTGTGATTTTTCTGGTACTTCAAAGGAAGTTTTTTTAATTGATGGTAAAGTAAAAGGAAATTATATGTATGTATCTACTTACATCCCAAACGTTTTGAATCTGAGTGGGAAGTAGTATTACTGGTTAATGTTTTATGGCAACTATACTTTACTTTGAAAAATGTAATATTGCCATGGAAACAATCTAAAGATTTCAATGAACATGTTCTTGCAATGTATTTATTATTTTACATCAAACTGCAAATACTAAATTAAATATAAAATATAAATAATATACAATGTGTTACATTTTAAATAAATTATTAAGGACTCCTGAACCCAAATGGAGATTGGTTGTTTCAGTTAGATGTGTATTCATTTTGAGTTCGAGTAACGCAAGTCCATAAATAAGGATTTAAATTATTTAGTACACTAAGGCAAAACAACAGATTTGTTGATTGGAAAATGGTTGGAAGGAAACATAAGTCGATCTGACAACAAATCCCAAGTTTACCTTTTGTTCCCTTCTCATTAAAGCTCTACCTCTTTTTTTTCCCATTTACTTTTAAATTCAAGAGATACGAGGGATTATGTTCACTTGGGACTTGAACCTACGACATTGTGCTGGTTCGAATCTGATCTGGCTTTACTTTTCATCCAAATCTGCACACATAAACAGGAGGTCGTGGGTTAGAGCCCTGGCCAACCGACTGAGTAAGCTTGTGAACTTTATCTCACAAACCCTCTGACAACGCCTTATAAACATTATATTCACTGTGTGGACTTCCGAACAAAAGAGGTCCACATAAACCAAGTAGCATCGACGTTGTGTGGACTTGCCCACGTCCACACAATGTTTTCCCCTCTCTGGAAAACAGGTTTAGAGGCATTTTTGGGTAAGGTTTATCCGTGGCAAAATGAAGAGAAACACCAAAGGGAATCATACAAAACAAATTGGGTTGAAAAAGTTTTCACAGTGTGAGTAAAATGAGGGGGTTTTTTTCACAGGCTTTTCTTAACTACACGAAAACAAAGGAATGTCTGCGCACTACGTATGTAACGCAAACATGTCTGAGTATACAGTGTTTATGAAATAACATCGGTGAAAGGGCAAACTGAGCGATTTGACTATACCTTCATTGGTGAACGCGATCCATCATTAGTGACGTCAGTCCAATCTACGCCATCATCGCTGAAGGCCACTTTGAACTCTGTCACCCATCGGTCCAAGTTACCATAGTTATAATCCCCGCGCCCCTGGGTGATAACGCCAGTGATGATGACATTGGAACCGAGTTCGACTTGGATCCACGAATTGGCGTCACTAGATCCAGCATCACACCAGGCTGCGGACCCGCTCTTGGCTGCAGAGTAAGCAGATAATCAAACATGCTGAGCATAAAATACTGCTTAGCAAATGTATGCATTATATATAGAAGAAAGTGAGAACCTGCCACAAGCCTTACACCCAGGAAGAGGCTACACTTGCAAAGCGGATATTTATAAGGAGAACGTATTGCATGGCCAATTGTATGTGCTAATCAAAAATCGGCAGGAAAACAGTCACAAGCAATACACAGACTTTTTGCTGGTAACCCTTCTCCGCTTTATGTGCTGTATGTGTTGTGCTTTGCACCTCTATGGCTTTCAACCAATGAGGAACTTACACGACTTGTGAAACCTGTGTTATTATAAAATTGAGCAAAACAGACTTCGCTTTGAAGCATCATCCCTCAGGGGAGATTCTTAAAGTTTTAGCATTTGTCGTTACCTTTGACGAATTATTTTGGTTTGAGTTGTCTTATTCTTCATCCCATGTAAGTGTTGAACGAAAATAAAATTACTTTCAAGGTTAAGCCGAGCCCTGGTGGGTCCGAAATTGGCCCAGTCATTCCACATTGACGACACAGTGATGCTTGCATTTCGGATGCGTCCATCTTCCATCCCTAAGGGTCGTACCTCAGAGCACTCCAAAATATCTGTCGGAGAAGTGGAAATCAAATCGATGAGGCAATCACAATCATTTTTATGGACAATTACGGCCGGGTGCGGATTCCGCCTTCTCCTGATCTTTGAAATGTGATATGAGACTTGGTATGATTGTAGATTTTGATTCGTATATTGACGCTGTAGATCAGACGAAGTGTTTCAAGTAGTGATCATCATGTTTCACTCGCGGTCCGTGAATGAATGCAATTATCTGTATGTAACGGGGTTGATAATTGTTCCAAATTTACATATTACAACACGCAACACAAAGGTCAGGTCATCCGCACCAAATGCGAGATGCGAGATGGCAGATTTGGTAGCGCACATGTCACTTTATTAGTGTGCCTAAAGGCTCGTTTGAACCAGAGATGAATAAGTCGTTTAAACGGGGTAACATGTCGTTAAAACGAGATACCAGTAGTAATAAGTCGTTTAAACGATAAGTTTTTTTTTTCTTTTCTTTTTCTTTCTTTTTTTTTGGTAGGCAGCAATACGCTTCCGCACAAAACGCAGAGCCTGGCCATGTTCTTCCCTTAATTTATACGCTAGCGATTTCGGTGCACGCTTCAGCGGCACAACGACATAAAACAAGCCGAATACGTGTCAGTATCAGATTATGTTTTTATCTGAGACCGGCTTTTTTTTTTAAGAAACATTTCGTCCTGGAAATACAGTTTGAAAGAACATTAAAAGAAGGATATAAAGATGCACACAACCATCCTTTAAAAACGGGACATTTCTGTGTTATTTTTCAAAGAACGAATTTCGGGGGTTAACATTTTGACTCTAAAAATGGAACTGTTGGGTGCTAGTCGTGAATCCTGCCGCACATTTTCCACCAGTGCATTGCATTTTGCGGACGTGCGAGAAACAACATTTGTTTCTTGCTGCTGTGTGTATAATATGTCGAACACACGCAACGAGTACTGTACATCGAATGTACCATGCCTAGTTGACATTTGGGCGAGAAGACGACGCAGATAGCCAGCAATTAATGGTTGTGCCTCTTGTGTGTATTTTCTCGGAGTTACTGCATTATAAATGAACGAGGCTCACTTCAGTTTACGATCCAATGTATTAGATGAAAAAAAAATTACCAGAAAGGCCTTGGTAATGTTGCATTCTAAGATACTTATAAAAATGGTGGCTACCGTGGCCCAAAATGTTTGAAAAAAACCCTAATATTTGTCTTATTATTGAAAACGAATGCCTTTTGTAGGCTTCATACTCATTAACCAACGACTGAATCACCCCCTTTATCAGTACCTCACTGACTCATGTCGTTTAAATATTTTTGCTTCTTCCAAATATCATCGCTCCCTGTCACTTTCTGATCAGGAAGATGTACATGAATGTACACACTATGAGGTCTCAGTAACTCTCTGGTTAGCCCGATTCTAATTGCCTTGCATTAAGTGTAAACTCATCGTTCAAAAAATCCACGAAAGTGAAAATTATTAAATTCATATTTAATAACCTATCAACAATACTGGCAGGCAATGAGGCAGAAAGCAAGCACTTGATGACTGTGTTCCTTTGGGTATATTACGGCGGTTATTGTATTATTAACGACATAACATAAAATACAGAAAGGCTTCAGTGATCACGCTTTTAGTGAAAATAATTTTCCTTTGAGTACGGCAGCCTATATTTGGGGAATCGGGCACCACCCGGTCACCGTTTTAGAATCGTACGAGCTTTTCTTTCTTCTTCCGGACGATAATTCTCGGCCACTTCTCTTCAAACTGTTCACAGCAGGAACTTGAAACTTGGAACGAAAATCAAAACTGATACAAAGGTCACGTCATTATGACACCGATTCTACTGGCCAAATCTAAATGGGGAACAGTACAGACCCAGGAACCATTCGGAGTACTGCTCTTGCCTTGTGCTACTCTGCAGCTGAATATGCCTGCCCAGTATGGGAACGTTCCTCGCATGCCAAGAAGTTGGATCCGATGCTAAACACAACCTGCAGAGCCATCTCTGGCTGCCTCAAACCTACACGCGTTGATGACTTGTACCTGCTGTGCGGAATTGCACCCCCTCCAATCAGAAGAGCAGTATCCACAAAAGTGGAACGTACAAAACAGGAGGATGACCCTCGACACCCTCTATTCCAGCACGTCCCGGCACCAAAGAAGTTAAAGTCCAGGAATAGTTTCCTGCATACGGCTCAACCCCTGGATGGCAACCCCCGTAGCTGCAGAACAGACGCGTGGAAGAATCAACTTCAATCAAAACCCCACATGCTGTCACTAGACCCTGAGGAGACACTACCACTCAGAGTTGCTGACTCGAGTCATGTGACTTGGACTCGAGTCGGACTCGAGTCGCTATTTTTGTGACTTGTGACTTGACTTGTAAATACCAGCTTTGACTTTTGACTTGACTTGGACTTGCAAACAATGACTTGTGACGTGACTTGGGATTGCAAAAAATGACTTGTTACCAACCAAAGTCAGACGCTACTCGAGCGACCCAATGGCTAATACACTTTAATTAAGCTATTATACTTTTAATTAGCTATTCGGATTGCGCCTTACGTGCATTAAAAAAGCGCACTTTGGCTTGCGCGGTTTCTACTTCGCCCAGCTGCAGCTGTAGATCATATCAGTGAGCTGAGCTTTTACGTTGCGTACGCGTGAGTGAAATAAATAGCGCCCTCAATATGTCATAATTGACAAGCAAGCATGGAGGCTTCTAGCGGTGTTGTTCCACGGGTGGTGAGTTTCGCATACCAAGATTACAATTCAACTGCAGAAAGTAAAAGGTCTGCTGTTTGTAAAATATGTAGATCCACTGTCACTGATGGCCCAAACACAACGAGCAATTTCGTGAGGCACCTTAAAACCCACGATGAGCGGTGAGTAGTCGCGCTTTGACGCGCTGTGACTTTTTTTTTTCGGGGCCGGGGGGGGGGGGCTTAACCGCGAATAGATTTTCGGTCATTCTGGGCTGCGTACAAACTCTTGTTTCATATGGCTATTGAATCTATTGAAACTTCTAGCCTCTAGTACTTGAAAATCTGCCCTAGACCGAATGTATATTTTCCCTAATTCCAGATCGGGCATGTTCGGGCATTTGCAAAAAAATGACTTGCTGCCACCCCCTGCCAGTAGGAGCCAACGAGACATGGCCAGTTTGGTTCTGCCTCAACCGCCTTAGAACAGCTGGGGTTGGTCGGTGTAAAGCCCTCATGCAGAAGTGGGGGTACAACCATGATGGTTCAACCAATTGTGACTGCGGGGAGGCACCCCAAACTATGGAGCACCTCCTAAACTGCCCCCTCCTACCAGAGCCCTGCCAACCAGAGGGAGAATCTCAAGGACGTCAACCCGTGTGCCAGAACCTGTGTCATGCAGTGGCTAGGAAAAGTGTAGCGACACGACAACAACAATCATGACACCATCTGTTATCAATTACCAAATCGTCATTTTTAACTCCTGGACAAAATAAACAATCATGTTAATAAAGGTTATCCCGGCTAATTTACCCAAGTATTCATTCAATTTAACGTCTGTGTCATTCAATTTTGATTAAAGTTGAAAGATCACGCATATCGTCATTCGACCATCAAAAAGAATCATTCATTTTCACTATGCCAGCAATATATCGTCTTTTCGCTTCACTTAAATTAAAAGTATCGTCTCGTTCATTCTTTTTCGTCTGAACCAGCAGTAGGGGGTTGATCGGACATTCATGTTCATTAATGGGCAAACATATGTTACATTTTGTCAAGCATCTGTTTACTTCTTGCATGTCCGTATTCCTATGAAATTCTGAATTATTTTAGCATAAATAACACGTTTTCCCGGCCAATTTCCTAAAATGTTCATTCCCTTCTGAAAATCAGTTATTCATTCTCGTCTGAATTTGAGAATCGCTCGGAACACGCGCTCCATTTTCTCTACCAGAGCATTCGATTCCAGACGAAAAGGAATGACCGATTTTCAAAATGAATGAACATTTCAGGAAATTGGCTGGGAAAACCCATAATTTTGATTCCGGATCATAAAGACGCTTGATCTTTACTTCCTGTGCTACCGAAAAGTGCAATGAGAAATGAATATAATAACTTCAATACAAAAACATTTTACTACAATCATACAAAATTAATTATGCATAAATGCTTAACGTGGGATGTAAAACACAATCCATGCCATGATGACATCACTACTTGAAAGACCACCCTCTAACAGCAAGTGAAAGAAAAGGTGTGCTTGCGTAAATGAATGCACAGGTAACGTAATTGGCCGTCTGTTTCTCAAAACCGAATGCACGGTAAATGAAAACGATTGAATTTCGTTGAATTAAAATGGGATTAAAGACGTGCATTCAAATTCAGACGAAACTGAATGACCGATTTTCAGAAGTGAATGAACATTTTAGGAAATTGGCCGGGAAAACCTGTATTTGCTAACTTGTACCATAGGGAGTCTTTAGACGACCACAACTACTTGGCGAAGTTTCAGAATTTTGACACGTTATTTACGTTAGGCATCCCAAAGCTGTGGCGTCATCAAACCAGATAAGGCGTAAAATATACGTACACATACACGTCCGGGTAATTGTTGTATTTGTGGGAAGTTCTTTTCATATGATCTTGCATATGTATTCCTTCTTAAGTAAATCAACATTCATTGTGCACATGTTTTGTCTTTCGACAGAACATGTACGCACATGTTGTGTACGTGTACATGTGCATGTACATGTACATTCGTACGCTTACTGTGCAGAATGTTCGCGCATTGTTTAACGGCGCTGAAGTGGCACGCGTGTTAATGTGGCGCTTGTACTTCTGGAAAGATGTTAGTGATGGAATGCAAAGTGTTTGCAGCGATTCTTCTGGATATCGATTTATGTAAAGACCGACTTGAGTCCAAGTCTACATCAGGCATGTAGCTTGCCCCAGGAGGAGCTGAGACTAAACACTCAGTAGGGAGTCCATTGGTTTTGGGCCGAGTAACTATAACCACGCAACAATTAGTCAATTTCAAACCGTGCTAATAAGTATCCTGATATCCAGAGGAATACTGACTCTTTTTATCAAAAACATTAATTCAGAACTTTCCATTCGTTTAGATGAACAAAGAATGAATTCTCAACTTGAGCTTTCCATATATCGACCGATTGCGCCTAACATTGCCGTGTGCGCCGCTACTTTTCTATTTGATAAATCCTAACTGTTTTTGTCAGAACTTTATAAATAGAAATGGTACAGACTAATACACATGTACCCAGAAACTTCAGATTTGTATTAAACCAGTAGCACAAAAAGAAATGATTAAAAGCTTTCCGCACCTTTCAGAAAAGCATTTTTAAAGGTCGGGTACAGAGGCGAAACGAGAAATTTGAGTAAAACGGTCGCGATACTTATCGTGTAGCGGCAACCAGACTGATAGTCTACTACCGCATGTTATTGTACGCGGATAGCATTGGTCCATTGCCAGACTTACATGTAGTCTGGCACGCGGTACCAGTAATATCCCGTGCACCCTTATTCCATGTTGCTGCGTTGTGTGGAGCTGAGCGGGATCAGAACTATACTTTGCCCGTGCCCAACGGAGGGCCGTCTGGCATTGTCTGGTCGCATCGCGGTGTTTGCTCGGCGCACACCTGGACAGTTCGAAGGTCCGGGGGTGAATCGTAACTTTTGTTGTTATAAGCGGTAAAAACCTGATTCAAAAGTCAGGTTATTGTTTATTTAATGGGATTCCTATGATATCAAACATTTTGATAGGTTCGTAAAAGATAGATTCATTAAACATGTTGAAAGTAAATAAAGTAAATCTTACAGAATTGAAATTCCAAATTTAGCCATTTAAATTGTTGTATCTCCAAAATGCAAACACCTATGAAGCTGATTCAAACCCCATTGATTGTGTTGATCTTTTCCGTGAAACAAAAAAAAGTATGATATTTCTATAAAAAAAAAAAAAAAATACAATGGACTCCCTACAGTAAGGCCAAAATTAAAATGTTGGAGAGGGTGAAAGCACGAGGCGACGCACGACGCGGTGACAGACGCGAAACACGACGGTGCGACGCGACGGGCGACGGAAGGAGCGACGTTCAGGTATCTGTAAGATGAAAAGGACAACACGACACGACGCGACGGGCAGGACGTGATGATGCAACGGTGCAGTCGTGACGTTGCCTCTCGAGTAGTGGAGTTGCATGTCGAAGAGGAGATGCATTGTGTCGTCAATAGTTAACCACAGGTAAGCATCTCCGTGATTTTGCAAACGTTGGATTTGTTTCCCGAACGCAGTTTCAAAGAATATGATGTCTTTGAAGGAATATAGAATGATTTTATAACATTTTAGCTAGTGGCAATATTCGTAAACAAAGCGTGATGTCATTTGGTCTTAGGTATATTACAATAGGCCTATACGCACCATGACAGTTGAAGTAATCATGAATGTCCTCCGGGTCGTTGGTAAAGATTGGAGTGTCGGTGTAGAACGGTGGGTGAGACCAACGGACTGCCTGCATGTTAACGGGCCCTGGTCTGATACTGGTACAGGCGCAACGATCTTTTTTACTCCCCGGCATAACCCAGCGGAGACGGCCTGACTGACTCGCATCAGGCTCCTGGCTAAAGTAGCAAGCCCTCCTAGCCAAAACCAAGCCCACAAGGGTCACTAAAATGAAGAACATTTTCACGAAATACAAAAAAAATACATTGCCGTTATTTTTTTCGGTATCGATTGTATCCGCTGAGGGAGTGTCTTTACAAACAAAACAAAAGCACAACAAAGCACCCCAAAACTAAACAAACAAGCTACAAAAACCAAACAAGTGCGAGTGCACAATAAGCTCTGACCGTCTTACATGACAGTCTAGCATGAAATCCAACAAAATCATCCCTGCCATAGCTTAAAAATAAGACGCCCACAAATGGGACGCCGATGGCACATATAAAACACCATAAATGCCACGTGACTATAACATATACAGCACATATTTACAAACTTTTCATAAACATCTTACCGAATTGTTACAAACAATTTAATTTATTTTGTTTGCTTTTTGTGAAAATTTAAATTGGGTAGTTGTATTTTGTGGAAAACTTATGGGGCTTATTTTGGTCAATTCTCGGGGAAAGATATATGCTAAATAAAAGCGCATGCGCATTGATCGAAACAAAATCGCTGTTCCAAAAACCGTCAGCGTTATTTTTACCACCACGGCACGGCATTTGCTTATTCAGTCAATTATTTTTGGTCAAATTTTGGCCGACCGACCAACCACCAAGTGACATGTAAAAGCTCCTGCCAGAGCTTAAAAACCCACACAGTACAAATGTTGCGCCCTCCCTTCATGACCAAATCTAAACATCTCAAATGGTTTCTACAAACCTGTGTTAGATTTAAATTTGAAATGGTCAAAATTATTATAAACGGAGAAAAACGAACTCACCTGTACACAAAATCACGAGCAAACAAACAAAAAATCCAGCCTTGATTTCATATGACTCAAGAGACAGGCGTAGACACAAAATAACAGAATGATGATACAAAAGAATTATTCAAATCAGGAGAATGATTAAGGAACAAGAATATCGTTCTCAATAAGGCCATTTTTAACTTTAGAGATCCCTTCTGCCCCCGGCACACCCTCCACCCCTAGCAGCAGGGGCGGCGAAACGCTTTTCAAACTGGGGGGGGGGGGGGGCATCACCAAAATGGGCACTTGCTCAGAATAAAAGGCACCTTCCGTCGGTTTGAAAGAAAAGACATTTTGAAAATATTTTCGTTCGTCGCAAGGAATACATGTTACCCGGAACAAACTTTACTAACAACTTTGATATACACTTTTAAAAATCTTATTTCCCTTACTCAAAACTTACAGTGTAGGCATATTCCTGAAATAGTCTTAATATAGCCGTATTGTTCTTAAAGCAGGATTTTTTTCGGGCTTGAGAGAGTCCTTCGGCCTCCGGCACACCCCCGGCAGAAACCTCTCTGGGTCCGCCCTTGAATTTTACTAGTTAGGTCTATGCAAAGTGACAAATTTTTGGTTAACCACACATGAAGAAAAAACAAAAACAAAAATCAATTTTCCCTTTTGAAGTAAAACATTTCCCAACATACAATCAAAGTCTTATTTAAATGAATATTTCTTGTCGTGTTGGAGAAAAGGCTCTGCCAAAGCCCTGTAGACGGATTTCAAATTAGAATTAAAACCGATGCTCTCGGTGCTATACCATTGTAGTCACGGGCTAGCTGCACCGACCCAAGCGATGCCATGCGGTACGCGGTGCACGGACGTACGGCCACGTCGGATAGGGCTTGTCTCGGCGCAGTAGGCTAGCCCGTGATCATTTGTTTAATACCGTTCATTTATCACAATGAACTGTAAGCCGTTGCCATATTTCACAGCATAGCCGGCTAACTCTGCAAGATCACATTGGCCTGGTAGTTGCGCAAAGGAACGTTTTCCCTTTAGAACATTGTAAGACTTTCTCTTAAAGCCGAAATTTTTTGCCGAATTGGTAGTCTAGGCGATATTTTAAAAATAAAAGGGCTCATTTAGGGCAAGAAAAGGATTTTTTAGTAGAAGTTGATAACATAGCTATTTTACCTAATCTGGGAGTGCAGAATCCGAAAATGATTGTTACCAAGCTGGATTTTTAGTAGAAATATGCCTAATTTGCATAACTCTTTAATACCTGTCGTGTAATAAATTTGTTCCCATATTTGGGTATATTTTGTATTATTTTATTTTTTGAACAGTTTATTTTGGTGATTCTACTTATTACACTTCCTGACTTCCATAACATTTTCTAAAGCAAGTGACTGAATGATTATGAGGACATAGTAACAATCCAAAATGGCTACTATTACACCCTATAGTTGCGCGCATTTACCTTGTCTCCAGATATCACCAAGTGGTCCCGCCAAACCTTAGTAACGATTAACTTGTATTCTTGATTGCAGAAAAATCCAAACCCATTGAACGAAATGTAAACAAGCAATTTAAGCGTAACTTCGGTAGTGATGATATTTCCCAGTTTGTCAATGATGTAAATTCAACTGACTGGAGTTATTTATCATCTTCGGATGATTTAAATGATTTTTACGACAGATTCCTACAAACTATAATTAAATTGTATGACAAGCATTTTCCATTACAAAAGGTTAAATGCCGATATGGTAAGTGCAAGTCTCCCTGGCTTTCTAATGGTATCTACAACTCGATAAGGAGAAAAAACTTCTTGTATAAAAAATTCCTTAGAAATCCTAATCCTCATAATAAATCCATTTATACCTCATACAAAAATAGATTGAATACTTTGATACGAAATGCGAAAAAAAAATATTTCTCCAAGAAATTCGGCCAGGAAAAGGGCAACATTAAAGGGACATGGCGTTTAATTAATAACATACTTAACAAGGGTAAATCGAAACCCAACCCGTCTCATGTAGTCCAAGATGGCGTAAACATAAATGGTAATGAAGAAATTTCCGACACATTTATTGAGTATTTTGTAAATATTGGAACTCAACTTGCAGACAAGCTACCATTATGTAATACCGATTGTCAGTCTTTTCTTAAAGACAGATGTTCACATTCTCTCTTTTTAACACCAATAACAGAAGAAGAGATTGAGGATGCCCTCAACCAAATTCCAGAAAGTAAGGCACCTGGCTTTGATGACTTAAGTCCTTTTGTTATGAAACAAGCAAGGAGTAGTCTTTCAAAACCACTGGCTAAAATCTTTAATAAGTCCATGGCTATGGGTTTTTTTCCTGATGGGCTAAAAACAGGTAAATATATTCCAGTGTATAAAGGGGGAGATGAACATGAAGTCAGTAATTATAGACCCATTTCAGTTTTATCTACATTTTCTAAGGTTTTCGAAAAGTTAATTTACAAAAGACTTATATGTTTTATAGATAAACACAATATTTTATCAGAATCTCAATTTGGATTTAGGTCAAACCGCTCCACCGAGATGGCAACTTCTTATGTGGTAAATAGACTTCTTGAGGCCAGCCATAGACGACAAATAGATCTCTATCGGTGTATTTTTAGACTTGTCTAAGGCCTTTGATACAATTAATCATGATATCTTGATTTCTAAATTAGAGCACTACGGAATTCGAGGAATAGTTTTAGACTGGTTCAAGAGTTATTTGTCCAAAAGAAAACAGTTTGTATCATTCAATTCTGCAAAGTCTACATGCAAGACTATTACCTGTGGAGTTCCGCAAGGTTCTGTTTTAGGACCACTTCTATTCATTCTGTATATAAATGATATTTGCAGTACATCAGATGTAATTGAATTTACTTTATTTGCTTACGATACAAGTTTGGTGTATAGTCATAGTAATGTAGATGCTGCTGTAAGTAATGTTAATCGTGAATTTCTCAAAATAAGCGCTTGGTTGGTATCAAACAAACTTTGTATTAATCTATTTAAATCAAATTATATCATTTTCTGTCCTAAACAAAAGAAATACGCACAAACCATTCCTTTAAATTTCAATGGTACTATCATGAAACAAGTCAAAACAACCACATTTTTAGGTATATATATTGATGAAAACTTAAATTGGAAATTTCACATTAATACCATATCTGGCAAAATATCCAGAACTGTTGGGATTATGAATCGCCTAAAGTTTTTTGTTCCGGAAAATATCCTTATCATTCTCTATAATTCTCTGATTCTCCCTTATCTTAATTACTCAATTCTCACGTGGGGTGGTTGTTCTTCCCAATGTGAAAAACTACTAATTTTACAAAAACGAGCGATTCGTATTATATGTAATGTCAGTTATCGTGAGCACACTACTCCCTTATTTGCTGCCCTCAAGATTTTACGATTTAATGACCTTTATTACCTAAATTTAGGTAAATTCATGTATAAATATTCAAATAATTTACTCCCATATTGTTTCAACAATTTCTTTACTTTCACCTCGAATATTCATTCATATAATACTAGAAGCGTTTCAAAGCAAAACCTTTACGTTTATTCCAGTAGAACGTCAATGTTGAAAAACGGCCTTGTCCACCGGAGCATTGACCTTTGGAACAGGCTGAGTGATTCAGTTAAATTATCGTTAACTTTATCTACATTCATCAAAAAAATGAAAACTCAATTGCTTAACTCTTATAATGTCTGATGAATAATTATTTTTACTCCTGTTTGTTTTGTTTGTTTTGTTATGTTCCTGTTTTGTCCCTGCGTTTTTGTCCCTATTCGTAACTTGTATGGTAATAGTAGGTATTTGTCCACAGGTTGGGGTACAAAAGCCATCCTTCACCCTATACCTAACGTTGTCCCAGTATGTATGTTGTTGATTTATGATAAATGTTGGTTTGAATTCAATTTATATCCAATTATAATACATGTAATTATAACATTAATTTTGTGTATTAATGAACAACGTTGAATAAATGTCCAGCAAATTGAACTTCAAATTCACCATGTTGCTTACTGGTACAGTCACCCTAATAAAAACCTTATGGAAAAATCATGTAAACAAAGATAACATTGTGATATAAGACCCCCCGTCTTATATCACAATGTTATCTTTGTAAACGGTGTGTCCGCAACTTGAGCTAAAAAAAAAGTTGAAGGGTTGCCTAACGTGGGAGACTTGAATAAGTTCCAGGAAATTCCAAAAAA